TCCTGAGTTGCAGCAGAGGATAATGGATCCCTTGGAGAATGGAATAATGACTGAAGCTCCACCAGGCGCCCTGTGTAATCCTCATGACCACCCTGCAAAGTCACATCATCCTTGGTTTGCTGATGAAGAACCCAGGGCTCAGAGATGAGCAGCCACTTAGGTAAGGTCACACAGCTGCTGAGTCTTGGGGCTGGGAGGTGAACCCAAGTGTGACTCAAAGTCTAAAGCTCTTTTTATGGCTGAGATAGGCAGGGCCCTCACAGTGTCCTACTCAGGCATAGGAATGGTTTCCCCAGGGTACCTGCATCCTCCCTGCATAGAGAGGCTCATGGAAACCCAGTTTGCCAGCTGCATCTTGGGCATGGAACCTGCTGGCAGTTTGGTGTGTGTCCTTGAAGACAAGATATTCCCTGCCATGCTCATGGTGATAATGTAACTTATCACCATGATAACAATAACTTCCAGAGTATCAATGACATGCCGGGCAAGATGCCAAGTCCTTTGGGGCACCTGATCTCAAGTCCTTATAAGAATTCTTTCCCCCAGCTGGGTAGGTCCCCATTTTACAGAGGAGGATCAGGTAGGTGCCAGGGCTGTGTGGTCTCCAAGCCTGGCTCCAAAGGATAGGGCAGAAGGGAGCCGAGAGTCACCAATCACATACCCCAGAGGAGATCCTCACAGCCTGCTCCCCCAGCTGGAGAAAAATACAGCAAACGATTAAGGCCACACCAGCCCAGCGCCTGGGGAACACAGGGTGAGCCAGGAGTCACCGTGAATAATGCCTCCACTCAGCAGCAGATGACTGCAGTGTTGGGAGGGCCTTCACTTACCCTCTTGCCCACAGCCAAGGTGCTGGGGGTTAAATGGAGAGATGCCCTCAGAAGGGCCAGAGGGTCCCCTGACTTGGGCTGGCAGAGTGAGCCCTTCGGCCCTCAGCCCCCAGGGAGAGTACCACAGAGGCCTTTTTGTAAGGCAAAGTCCTGCCTCCTCCCCCCAAGCACGGCCGTTTCCAGGACAGGCCCTCTCTCTACCCCAGACTGTGGGCAGGGGTGTGTGCAGCACTGAAGCAGTCCGATGGGAGGCCATGCTGACTGGGGTACCCACTGGGGAAGGGGCACCCCGCAGGAAGGCCTGTGGGAGGCCTTCTAGGCTGGGAGAAGCAGCAGCCCGAAAAGGCCAGAGCCTGACTTTGCTCTCCCCGTGAGCCACACCCAAACGCCACGGTGCTGGGGGGGTCTGTGGGGGGACAGAGGTGAGCCTCCCAGGAAGGCCTTTCCCGGTGTAAACACTTCCAAGGAAAGGAATGTGCTGGGAAGTGTGCGGTTGGGCCACTGGAGCCGCAGCCAGCTGGGAGAAATTTTTTAAAAAATCACCCTAGCACTCAGAGAGCTTTCTGTGGAACCCTCAACGCTCTTTGAATCAAAGCCTCAAGGCTCCCCTCTGCCAAGGTGGGCGCATCCCACCTGGGCAGGCAGCCCAAAGGGACCCTGGCGGGCCAGCAGAGCCTTGCGCGTCTGTGCCGCGGCGGCTCGGCCTCCCCGGCAGGCCCCGCAGGCGGAAGGCGCCGCAGCCTCGCGGCCGAGGTGGGAGCTCGGCCGGGCAGGAGCTCTGCGTCTCGCCGCGCACAAAGGCTCCCGCTCGCACACCAACGAGTCTCGGGTCGCCAGACGTGGGAGCTGTATTACAAGCGATTAGACTCCATTTTGTGACAGCTTTTTGGACTCTCCCACTGACCCTCCCCCCTTCCGGAGCCTCCTCCAGGAATTCGCCACCTCCTCGGGATAAAAACCCTTTCCAGGCGAGCGACAGACGGCAGAGAGTTACATAGAGTTACATAATTCTATCTGGCCAAGCCACCAAGAAAAAAAAAAAAATTGGGGGGGGGCAGTTAATATGCCTATTTTATTTTTCATATGTTCTCCGCTGGAGGACGGAGAGGTTTTTGTGATTTTGTGGAGGCCGCAAAATCTCCGGGTTTCTAAGCGGGATTTTTGTCTGAAAAGAAGCGGAAGCTGTTTTTTTGCTTTTTTTTGTTGTTGTTTTTTTTAAAGATTCCCCCAAAAATGTGTATGGAGAAAAAGGAGACTTTTCGAGTTAAGAATGAAAATGCCCAAAGTCCGCAGCCCGCGTTCCGCTTTGCTCATCTAGGACGTACAAGTGGATTTTATCAAATGCTACTATCTGTGCCCGAACGTCAATTAATCACCCCTGTGGTGCGTAAAATAACTTTGCACTTCTGGGTGCCTGGGATCCCTGAGAACAAATCGAAAGGAGGAAGACACACTAAAAATGGCAACTTCTTTCTAAGGACGGAGCCCTGTAGCTCATCAAGGGGTGAGGACACATTTTTCAAAAGTTGCGTGTGGTTGTAGGGTGTGCGGGGGTTGTTAATGTCCCAATACCGCTGACACACAGACTTGACAAAATGAGGAAGGCACGTTTCTGCGCCCACTTGCCTGGATTCTTGTCTGAAAAGCATTTACGCACAGATGAAATAAATATGCATCTGCGATTCTCAAAGAAAAAAAATCATGAATAAAAATATTTTTATTGTGCAAAGTACATCGCTTTCCAGTGAACTGCCTGCTAGCGTCGCTCGCTCACTCTCCCTGCAAAATGCTGCCGAGAGACCCGCCGGGTATCTGTCCCCAGGACTGTCTGGATACACCCCACCATGCCACCCTCAGCCTGTCCGGCAGGCCACCGAGTGCATATAACTAATTGGCGTTATTGGAAGAAATAGTGGATGAGGGAAGAGGAGGGGACTGTAATCGAGAATGCTCCCCCCAACCAGGCCTCAGCCCCAAAGGACCCAGACTCTGGACTGGGGACCTGAGATCTGCCTTGCACCAAAATTCATTCCCAACACACCTGACTGCACTAAAGTAGCAGGCTCTTAGGCGACTTTTCTTTTCTTTTCAAAACAAATAGACTTTGGACAAAGCAATCACAAATGTTTAATTGTTCTGTAAAATGAGGAGGTTAGCCACTCATCTCTAAGGCAACGTCCAGCTCAAATTTTGTGACTTTATTCTGTGCCTGATGAACCAGGGGATATCCTTTTTTCCTTTTACAGAGAAGCTCCATAAATGATTATAGAGGGGAAGATATGTACAAGAGGTTGGAAAAGTCTGTCCAATATATTTAAAATTTTTTTTTTGAAAAACCGCACAAATGATGGAGACCCCTTTCTAATTTCCCAGGCCTCCTGCCCCACGTGTTGAATTGTTGAGGCCAGTGACTGAACTGGGTGGTAAGTGGCACCACCAGAGCCGAGAGCTCAGGGTCAGGCAAGCACAGTGAGGCCAGGGGTGCAGGGTATGGGGAGTTGGTGGTTGGTGTACCCTGCAGAGGTGCTTCCTGGGCCAGGTCAAAGCCCCCAGCCGTGTCTAAGCCGCCGAAGTACTTTCCCTGTTCTATTTGTGCTGCTCTTAAGTCCCTCTGTGGCTGAACTGACTGGTAGCCTCTCCCTCTCCCAGAACTAGAATCGTATCAGTCCAGGGTGCAGTGAAAAGCCAACCAATAGCAGTGTGCCTAAATCTGGGGTGCTTCTGCAGAGGGGGAGGCCTCAGCTGCACTCTGGAACCAGCAAAAGAGCTGACCCCCTCTGAATCGACCACAATTCTTTCTCGAAGAGCCCTCAGCTGGAAAGAGAGCAAGGCACAAAAAGCAGCTGCTGCTCAGGCCCCCAGACCAGGGGGGCACAGCCAGAGCCCTATATGGTAGGTAGAACTCCATGCCCTCTCTAGGGCCCCGGCCTAGTCCCATTTCCAGGCCTCAGCCAAACAGCTGTGCTGCCCTACTTTCCACCAGGCCTGGATTTGGGCAGAATCCCTGGGCAGAGTAGAAAGGCTGCACTCACCACTAGGCACCAGCAGCCCATGCTCTCCCCAGGGTTTGGGCACACACAGCCCTCTCTGAGCCCCAAACCACCCGAGCAGCCTTAGCCACTCTGCAGTCCCATCCAAGACAGGTTTCTGGGCATCACTAAAAAGTTCTCGCAGGCACCCACTTGTCTCTGCATGCCACTCTGGGGATCCCCACACCCCTCTTTCAGTGTTGCTCCTCATTGCCTCCCCCTCAACTGCACTGCTAGGTACAAAACCCAGCAGGGTCAAAGGAAAAAGCCTGCATCTACTCTTACTTGTTCCCCAGCCCCTGCCACATGAACCCATAGTCTCAGCTAAAAACAAAAGTCAGCAGGTAGGGCTCAGCCTACCTCTCTGGCCTCAGCTCTGAGGTTCAGACTATCCCAGGGCAGAGCAGGCCATCCCCTCCCCAATACGCAGTGCAAGGAAGGAGGCCTTCTGGGGAGGCTGACTGGGTCAGCTGTCCACCCCCACGGAGAGCCCCAGATTATAGCTTGCCACCTTTTGAGGTCCTCTTCCTAGACTGCCTCTCCAACCAAGGAAAATTTTAAGTGCAAAATTCCCGCTTGGAACGGTTTGGGGAAGATGGACACCCTTTTCTCTCCATCAGGGACTACAAGTGCAGCAGGGAGCCTGGCAGAAAAGGGGCCTCCCTGGTGCTCAGTATTCCACCTCCCTGCTCCAGGAACCCCCAAACCCCCACACTGCCGGCCCTTGGGGAAGCACACAACCAGGCCTGGCTCTCTAAAGCACTGCTTTCCTTTGGAAATAGATTTTTGGTTCCCAATTCAGGCCACAGTGGGGCCAGGCCTATCCTAGGACCCAGACATCAAATCCCCCATTTTGCCCAGGGCCTTGTCCCGCACCCCAACTCAGCGGGCCAGCGCCGGTTTCTGGGACAACGGATGGCAACTGGGGGCCGTCCGGAGGCTCCCCAGATCCCACCAGTGTCTGCTTGGCTGGGCTGGTCCGCCCCAGCCCTGAGACGCGCAGCCGTGGAGCCCTCGGAGCTGCCCGGGCCAGTGGCAGGCAGAGCCCGCGGCAGGGCGGGCGCGGGCCCGGCCCCGGAGGGGACCGGCCGGCTCGAGTGCCGGGCGGCGGCGGGGAAAGAGGAGGACGAGAGGCGCTTACTGTTGGTAGTCTTGTTTGCAGTACAGTTTCCGATCCCGGAAGTAGCAGCTGGTGGTGAGGGCTTGCTGACACGCCGCGCACTGCAAACACTCCTCGTGCCAGGACGACTCGTTGACTCGCATCAGGAAGCGGTCGGAGATGGGCCGCTGGCAGCCCTCGCAGACGGCGGGATGCGGGCAGTCGGAGCCTGCAGCGCACAGGGCGAGAGCCCGGCCGTCAGCGCCGCCTGGCCCAGCCCCGGCGTCCCCGTCGCGCGGTGCCCGCAGCCCCCGGCCCCGAGGACGGCCCGGGATCGCCGCCTGCCGCCTGCGCTCCCCTGGCCGCCGCGCCAGGGGCCGAGCAGCCCCAGCTAGTTCGTCCCAGTCCGCGGGCCTCCAGCCTTGGCTCGGCGCTGCGCTCTCCCCTTCTCTGGAGATTCAGCACTCGATGTTAAGACAAATGAGAACGAGCACGGCGCAGGGTGGCCGGCTGGGACCAAGACAGGCGAGGTGAGACTGGGGCGCTCGCTGGCTGACACGCCCCACGGTGGCGTTCGTGGTCTTCTGTCCCCAATCTCCCCAAAACCTGTTGTTTGGCTGGCGCAAGGGGACATTTTTCTCTTAGAAGCTCGCCTTCCCCAGGTGACCTAGCACCTCTCTCAAGCTCGCCAAGGTGACTACTTGGGTCTACCATCATCCCTGCCACCCGCCTCCTACCCCGTCCCGGAGTGGCAGCTCCACAACCTAGGCCTGGAGAGGATAGTGGTGGCGGTTGGAGCTGTCCTGTCCTCTCCTGGGTGATGTCCCTGCACACTTCTGTCCCCTTAGGATGCCTTTTTAGGCACGCTTGTTGCCCCTTTGGTGATCACCGCAGGAGTCCTGTCTCTCTGCCACCCACCACGTCTTGCAAACCCGTTTCCTTTATCCGTTGGCCCGGACGCCTGTGTTCACCGCGGGACGACGCCCTGTCCCCCGCCCGTGACCACTTGGGCATTCCGACCCGCACTCACCCAGAAGCACCCCCAGAGTGGCGGGCCCGGGGCGCAAGGCGTGCTCCTCCATCTTGATGCCGTCCAACATCTTGGCGCAGTCCGTCTGCCCCCGAGGGAAGCACCTCTCCAGCGACTCGGGACCTGTTGCTATATCCATGGGACGCGGGGTGCGCTGAGGACGCCGCCGGCCGGGTTGCTCGCCCGTCCGCCCGCTCGCCGCCGCCTCGGCCCTGGAGCCGGGGAGGCGCGGCCCCCGCGGGGCTGGGGCTGCGGCTGCCCCCGGCGAGCGTGGAGCGGCGACGCGCTGGCCCCGGGCCCCGGCGTCGTGCGGGCGGGCCGGGGCGGCTGCAGCCCGCGCCGCGCTCTCCGGTGCACTCGAAGCCACGCGCGCCGCCTCCTCTGTCACCTGCTTGTCAGCCCCGGAGCCCGGCTGCGGCGGCGGCGGCGGCAGACGGAGCCGCGGGGAGGAGGCGGCGGCAACGGTGGCGGTGGCGCGGTGGCGCGGCGGGCGGGGGAGGGGGCGGGGGTGCAGGGGCGCCCCCGCGGGCTGGGGGGGCGCGGGCGGCGCAGCGGGGTCCCGGGCGGGGCGCAGCGGGCCGCAGGGCTCCGGGCGCGCTCCCCGCACTACTCCAGTGCCATGGTGCGCCCGCGGAGCGGCTGGGTTTAGAGCTGGGGCTGGCGGCGGAGGGATACTCCGGCCGGGAGCCGCCTCACCCCTCCTCAAACTTCCTGACATTTGAACTCATTGGTGCGCCTCGTATCCCTGCGCCGGGATGAGCCGGCGGCTCCACGTCAAATAGTGCCGCCGCCGTCCCCCCCGCCGCGGGAGGGCTCCCCGCGCCCCCAGGCAGCGCCCCGCGCTGCGCCTGGCCCCGAGCATGGGCCCCAGCGCCCCAGCCGGGGAGGCCGCGCCTCCGGTCCCTCGCAGAAGTTTGGGTCGCCTTCGAAACAAATCCCTCTGCCCCACCCCCTTGAAAAATTGATTTGGGAGTTGGGGAATGAAGGCTTTCTTTTTTTCTTTCTTGCCTTCTTTATTATTAATATTTTGTAAAGCTCCAGCGGTAAGAGCAGTGGCCCCGAGCGAGGCCAGACTGCGCGGACGGCGGGGAGCGCAGCGGCTCCGCCAGGGGACGGCGCCGGCCAGAGTAGCCGCCCGGGGACCCCGACAGTGCGGAGGTAGGTCGCAAGGGCTGAGTTAGCGTCCCCCGGACGGCGGCGCCTGCCCGGGCGGCTTGGTCCGGCACAGGCTTGGCTCCCGGGGTTGAGGGACGGGAGCGGGCAGAGCGTGAGGACTGCTGGCCCTGGACTCACCAAAGGGGGCCCTGGCCCAGGGAAAGGGGAGCGGGCCTGGTGTTTGGTGAGGGGTCCGGGAAAGCTTCAAGTCTGGAAGAGACTGGGCGGAGGACTGAGTTGAAGCGGGGTTGGGGCCTTGAGACCGAGAATGGGGGACACCTGGGCAGGCGAGGAAGGTCAGGCCTAGGTTCAGGCGATGGAGAGTTTAGAGGACGACTAGGGCTGGGAAAAGGGTCCCCGGACAGGGGCGGGGTTGATGGACGAGAGCCGGTCCTTATGGGGTTTGCAGAGAGGGGCGCTGGTAGGGGGTGGTGGCCCCAGGGTCGGAGGCCGAAGGCTCAGGACTATGAGTGTCGGCCGCTTGAAGGACACCGGGTTGGCCGCTGGAATAGGCGATAGGAGTCCTTTGGCGGCCGACGTACCCAGCCGGGGGTCGGTAGGCCGCGCCCGCCAGGAGCAGAGCCCTGGCTAGCCCAGGCAAAGTGGGCCTCGGCACCGGGAGCGAAAGTCCAGCGAGGCCGAGCTGCCGACGCCGGGCCGGGCCTGGCACCCACAGAGCTTGGCACCCACGCCCGCTGCGAGAGGCCACTGCGTGGGGCTGCAGGGCACGCGCCCCGACCGGCTGCGTCTGCGGCCCCTGGATCCCCACCGACGCGCGGCTCACGGAGGAGCAGGGGGCGGCGGCCCCGGGGCAGGAGCGGGCTGACCCGGCGAGCCGCGGTGGGGCGGCCGCGGCCCCGGCCCCTCCCGGAGCGGAGCAGCGGCGCGGAGCCGGGCGAGGGCGGAGGGCATGGGGGGCGGGTCCCCTGACCCCGCTGGAGGCGAGAGGGCGGATCGGATTTGGAACCTGCGGGAGGCTTGGTCAGAAGTGGCCCCCTGTGCCGCGGGGCCCCGCGGAGGGGCCGGCTTTGTGGAGGATTAGAAGCTCCCGCCCCACCCCAGTACCTGCGTGTGCGTCGGTGGGTATCTGTGTGTGACTGTGCGTGTCGGCGCTCCCGCCTCTGGGGCTCCTGTGAACGTGTGCGCCCGTGTCCCTGTGCACACACGGTATTTCTGTGTCCCTGCGGCTTTCTGGGCTCCGGTGTGTGCATCTCTGCCCGATTCCTCTGCATCCTAGAATGTGTGTGTGTGTGTGTGTGTGTGTATCTGCGGGTCCTTCCATGCTTCTGTGTCTTGTGTTTGTCCGTCTGTGTGTGTCCCTGTGTGTCTGTGTCACTCTATGCGGTGCCTACGTCTTAGTGTGTGTCTCAGCTTTGTATTGTGTTTGGGACTCTTTTCTGAATATGTGTATCTTGTGTCACCTTTGTGTGTCTGTGCCTATCTCCGAATTTTTGAATGATGCTGTGTGCTTGCGTGTCTCCCAGAGTTGTGTGCGTGTGCGTCTTTGTGTCTCCGTGTATTTCTGGGCGCCTTTGTGTGTCTGTATCCGGAAGGGTGGACGAGTGGATGTGGAATTTCTCTCAGATGCCCTTGATCCCCCTTCTTTGCTCAGCCTGGAAACCCCAGACCTCGACCCCCGAGGCTGGGCCTGGGCCGCTCTCGCGGGGCATCTGGGCGGGGGCGCGCTGCGCCGGGAGAAGCCGCGCGGGCGAGGCTCAGCGCGCAGAGCCGGGAGGCGCAGAGCCCGGCGGGCGGACCAGGCGCACTCTGCCCTCTGCTGGCCGCTCTGCAGCCCTGCAACCACTGCTGGGCGAGAGTCCTGGTTCCAGGCCCAGACCTCACCCTCTCCGTCAGGGCGCTCACCGGAGTCCCCTCCCGTCACAGGCCCTGTAGACACACCCCAGACCCCCAGCTCTGGCTGCAGCGGTCCGCCCCCTCCACCTGTTTCCCACTTCCACCTTCCAGACTCCTACTCCACACCCCTCCGTTCCCCCTCGGCTGAGTGGGGCCCCCTGCGGAAGCCTCCAAGGCTTCCCTGACCCTCGGGCTGGCGTCCGCACCGAGCCGGGACCCCTGGCTGCGCCCAGAGCACGTTCCCGGTCTCGGCAGAGGAGGACGTGCCGGCAGCCCCTGCTCGGTGTCGGTGTCGCAGCTGGTCTGTCCTGGGGCACACAGATTCTTGGCATCTCTCCCTGTGCCCCTGCGGAAGTCACAGCCCACGCACCAAAGTCCACGTGGGGCAGTCCGCCGAGGTGTGGGCCCTGGCTGCCTTCTCCGGTCTGGGGTGGGGCTGCTCGGTCCGCACACCTCCGTCCCTCTCCGTGTCTTCCCGCTCACTGTCCATTCATCGCCCGTACACACACACTCTCACATTCTCTCTAAGCCCTGTTCCTCGCCCTTTGTCCCCAATCCTCCTGCCTGCGTGTCCCCATTTGAGTTGGCCCGTCCCGGGTCCTTTGCCCACAGAGCGCGGAGGCCTCGGGTCTCTGAAGCACGGTCAGGACTCCCGCGCCTCCCCGTGCTGGAGCAGCGGCCGACTGGTGGGGAGAGCAGGGGCCTTGCCCAGCGCCGGGTTCTGCCCGTGAGCCGCAAGGGGACCTTGCTCCGCCGCCGAGCTGGTGCGATGTGGTCACGCCGATTTCCCCAGTGCCACCGGACCACAACGCAGGCGGCTACTGGCACCGGCGCGCCGGCTGATCCGGGATACTCTCTGGCTCAGACTTCAGCAGCAGACACAGTTTCAGATTTTCTCCACCTGAGTAACAGGAAGGACTGAGTCGAAGGCTCAGCATAGCTTGGAAGAAGCAAGAATGGAAAAGGAAGATGGGGGGAGGGGGGTTTCAACTCCTCCCCATCAGCAGGACGCCCCATCTCCACTGAGCCCTGCCCTATCCCCCTTGCTCCTCTTCTTAGGGCTTTGCACTCCCTCTCCTGCGATACCGGCCCCACGAGTGCAGCCCTATGAACTGCGCCCGACTCCCCATGGAGCTACCCGTCCATGGGTGGGGAGGCTGTCCTGCTGTTTTGTGTTTCTGACCAGAGCAGGAGCCTCAGGGTCCCCTCCAGTTTACAGTCCCAGCCAGAGGCAAGTACTTAGGGCAGGGATGGAGCACCAGTCACAGCTCCATCCGGTGCTGGGAGCAGGAAGGTCCACCAGGAGCTGTAGGATTCCCTGCCGTTCCATCTGTCTGGAGAACCAGTGCTGGGAGTGTCCAGGCCCCTCCTGCTGCCAGGGCCAGCCTCAGATCCAAGACTGCCAGACTGGACCAGAGGCATCCCAAGCTGTGGGCTGGGTTGGGGGATACTATTCCTGGGAGGTGACCCTGGGTTAGGGGTCCTGGGAGAACCACACAGACTCCGGAAGTGGAGTGGCCACAGTGACCATGCTCACTTCCTTGGACCCCAGCCAGGCTTGACCCCAGGGCACACGGGCGGGCCCAGGGGTCAGGCACCTCCTCAGCTAGCAGAGATGGATGCGTGTGATAATCATAGAGTAACCCGTCACCTTGCCACAGCTGGGTGAAAGTGCCTGTGGTTCCTGTGCAGGTCGGCGGCCTCACAGCTGCCCTGAGCCCTGGGCCAGGCCCACAAAGAGGAGGGACTGGGGCTCGTGCCTAGCTGAGGTCCTTCTGACACAGGGCTGGGAGCTGCTTCTCACTCCCTCATTGGGGTTTTCTAGACCGATGGGAGAGGGGCAGCAGGGAGACAGGATTTTGGGCACAATTTGCTGGTGAGGCAGGGTGGGCTCTGAGGCTGTGTGCCGGTGTGTGCCTGTGTGCAATGTGGGAGACAACTGAGCCCCAGCAAAGCCCCCGCCTCCTCCCTGCAGCCTCCCCTCAGCCATCCGGTGGGGTCTCTGGCCACAGACCCATGACTTTTCAGCACAAGGTCTGGGTCGTTAGTCATGGGATTCCTCCACGGTGGATCAGGAGACCAGGCTCCCTCGGATCCAAAGGCTGCTGTCAGCCTGCAGGACTGGAGCTCA